GGCGGGGAGCGCATCCTCAGGACCCCGAGATCCCTGCACAGTGAACCTCCTTGGCCCACAGGCTGCTGTGTGCCATCACAGGAGCAGCAGCAGACTCCAGAGTCAAGGCAGAAACAGAGTGGTGGGCTAGACACAGCCAAGCGCTTTAAGGCAGGAGGCTGGCTTGTGGGACGGATGCTTCAGGGTACTTACTTGGGGGAGATGGGCTCACTGAACCTCGGAGCTTGAGGCTCCCACTGGAGTGGCATGCCCTTTGGGGCATTCATAAGCAGCCCTGAAGGAACGAACTGGAGAACTGCACCCTGATCATCTCTCCTGCATTGCAGCCTGCTAACTTCCTTAAGAAACCACCTACTCCTGCAGTCTGAGTTCAGTGGGGCCGCTGCAAGGAACCGTAACACCTAGACTTAAAAAGTAGAGTGTTGTTGGGAGTTAGAACAATTTGTAATATTCATGCTAATCTCTTGGTTTAGGGCATTGCATTATGATTATGTAAAAAAAATCAGTCCCTCTAAAATAATAAATCTAAAACAAAGACAAAATAAATGACAGACCAACCTGCCCTTTCTAGATATGTGCTTCTTTCCTTGTATTTAGGTCCTCTTTCGTGTCCTTCAGTAGTCTTATTTTATTCACTGGGACAAGCGTATTTTTTTAGGTTGATATTATAATGTTTCTGCAGCCATTAGATGTGAGCCCTGGTGGTAGAGTGGCTACGAGTTGGGCTGTGCTCCACAGGGAGAGAAAAGATGGGCTTTCTACTCCGGCAGTCTCAGAAACCCACAAGAGGGGTCTCACTATGTCTCAGCATCGACTCAGTGGTAGTGAGTGAGTCGCTATTGTAAGTGAGATTGTTTTCCCTAAAGATTTTTAAACTTTTCTACTGTATAGGAAGGATAAAAGTAGATAGTATAGGGGCAAATCTATTATTAGTTCCAAATTTGCTATTAGTTTATACTCAATGCTAAAATACAGTGATATATTTCATTTTAATACCAGTAAACTCTTTTACAATAGTAACAGAAAATTTTTCTGAACAGAAACAAAAAAACAACCCTCCAATTCATGGCCATCATAGCGACCCCTCCACGACGGGGCTGAACTGTCCCCATGAGTTTCTGAGCCTGTAACTCTTTATGGGAGTAGAAAGCCTCGTCTTCCCTCCTGTGAATCAGCTGGTGGTTTTGAACTGCTTACCTTGTGATCAGCAGCCCAATGCATAACAACTCACAACACCAGGGTTCCCTGAGAGTGAAGGCCATTTAAAATAAAGAAACATGTGGTGGAAGGTGTTAAACCTCTCTGGGAAGCTTCAAAATACAGGTAATGCCTTGCTTGTTTGTTCTAGGTCAAGGTCTTAAAGCAAACCCTGGGGAAAGAGAAAACCTGGCCCTGCTTTGCTCTCCCCCCAATAGTCTCATACCGGCTTTCGCTCCCTCGGTTGCAAATTCAAAGTCAAGAGGCACCGTGATGCTATCTGTACTGATGTCTACGTTTTTAATATTATCTTCTCCAATGTGCTCCTATCGCCTTCAGAATCCAGAAAATATTTTTGGTTCCCAAGTCCAAAACCAAACTCACAGCTACTGAGTGGATCTCAACTCAGGGTGACCCTGTGAGGCAAAGGGGAACTGCTCCAGGGCGTCTCTGAGACTGGAACGCTCTGTGGGAGGAAAAAACCTCAGCTGTAAGTAACCCACGAGGTATAACATGCTACGTTCGCTTTTGGCCCAACTAGAAGTATTTCCTAGAAATAAAGTCTGTTCTTAAAAGAAAATGTGCTAACTCTTTAGAATCCACACAATGGTTTTCCACGACTTAAGCTCTCACTGTGAATACGGCAAATAACCTTTTCTACATAGAACCTGAATTTCCACACCGGTTAACTTTTTGCCAAGCGTTTGCAGTGGATGGCACAGGGGCACTATGGTTAGGAACAGACTTGGTGCCAGTTGGGTTTTTTGGCGAGACAAAGGACAGGTTCTTTCAGGGATACAAGTGATGAAAAGACAACTTTTCACGACTTCTGAAAAATATTAGTCTGCTTTTGAAGAATACTAAACTTAACTCAGACTACATTTTCCAAATTATCAAAATAAGTTCAACATAAAAGCGGAGTTCAAGATTGTCTGCAATAGCGATTGACAAAGGATATGAAAAGCTGAAACCAATTTCTAGCCATAAATATTCCCTAAATTTCTAGGATTGCAAGTTCAAGTACATAAAAATGAAGTTCCCTTTGTCTCTACAACAAAGCTTGGCATTAATTGAAAACAGTAGGCCACATTTTTTCCATTTGGTAAGAGACATTATTACCCAAGTTTCTGAGCAGTCTCACTAGATTAGCCAGCTTCCAGTTACAGAGAAACGTATGTGACTCACATCATGAGACTTGGCACAGAATTTGACAAAAATGAGGGGGTTTCAAAATGTTCATGGAAAGTAGACTTAAAACCGTTTTTGAGGAATTTTTTCCCATGGGCTTAACTGGTTAAATCCCAAGCACTTCCCCCAATCATCTTGTGGCAGGAGTTCATCAAGGTTCCAAATTCCATCTGCTCTGCAGACGGAGCGCATCCGACCAGCTTCTAGTTAAGAGGGGAAGGCACACACCATATAGATGTCTTTTGAAAAATATTTCCCAGGACGTTTTCAAGTTAGTTTGTGCAAATGAAAAGCCACAATGTGGGAATTACTATGAAAAAATGATTCAGAAAAAAGCAGTTGCCCTTAAAGACTAAAGAAAGGATAAACATCTCCCTCCCCCCAACATGTGCTCTGAAATTGGAAACGTTTCAAAGGCACGCAATGCTGACTATCCGGCCTGTCTGAAAGGCACTGGTGTCCAACATCATTTATAACCGTTGTTCCATTCGAGTCTGACTCTGGCCACAGCAGGTCTGCTGTGGGAGGCTTTTTGAATGAAGGGGATGTTTTGGCTTAGAGACCCTGCCCGCGACCCTGGGGACTTGGCAGTGTCCCAACCCCGATAGACAGATCAGGAGCTAACTTTATGCCCCAAATTACAAAGCCTTCTACAGAAGCAAATAACGTTCCTAGGATGAATGTCGGATGAGCCAAACATGGGGGGCGGGGGACGCTTTCAGTCTTCAGAGAAGGAAGCAGAAGGCTGTTTTGGCCTTGACCCAGAAGAGGGGCAATGTCCCCCAGGAAAAAGTATGTGAACCGAAGGAAAACTTCTCCACAGTAACAATTCTAATGATTCAAAGCTAGGGGTTGTTTCTCTTAAGGTTAAGAGCTAAGTGTGGGCTCCTGTTTACATCATTAAAATCTGGTTGATTTTCTTTTGTTCGCAGCTGTTTAATGTAAAGCTCATAGTGAAATGTTCACTAAAGAGATTCTATTTTAAGGTGAGTTTTGCCATTAAAAAAAGTCATTTTATTGGGGGCTCTTAAAGCTCTTATCACAATCCACCCATCCATCCATCGTGTCAAGCACATTTGTACATATGATGCCACCATCGTTTTCAAAACATTTTCTTTCTACTTGAGCCCTTAGTATCAGCTCCACTCTTTTCCCCCTCCCACACCCTTCTTCCCTCCAGTTTTGCCATTTTGCAAATGTAAGTTTACGTGTAACACATGGAAATGTTATCTAGGATTCCTATAACCCAAATCTGTAGCAGTCCATTTATTGTCCTACAGAACAACTGCGCTGAAGAGCGTTAACTATAATCCAGTGATGTTTTGGTAATATGCCTATTTTAGTAAAATTAAAGCTGAAATGTTATTTAATACGGGTACATACAGTAACTCACAAAATCTGAGTAGTCAGCCAGTCCCTAGCCACTCGGATTCGTTAACACAAGTTTACATACAGAGTGAAATGTCACAGTTCGGGGAAATGAAGTCAGGGTAACAGCTTTCTCTTATGCAGTAAGGAGAGACTACACACTTTCTTACACGAGGAACGATGTGCAAACCTGAGCACTCGCTAAGCCAATTTACATGCGTCCACTGCATGGAATTCAAAGCCATCCGAGAACCAATGACCAACAAGTGTCAGAGCTCCACAAACCCAAATGCTCCCTCACAGGGTCTTAGCGACCCTACGGGACAAAGTAGAGTTGCCCCACTGGGTTGCCAAGGCTCTAAAACTTAGGCAGCAGCCTGTCAGATTTTTCTCCCACGGAGCAGCTGGTGGGTTTGACCCACTGACTTCTGGGTAGCAGTCAAGGGCTTAACTACTGAGCCAACAGGGCTCCTTAGACCCTCACAAGCAGAAGCGAAACCCCAGCCAAATCAAGCGGCTTTCATGATGAAAACCAGCAGTCTGGCAGTAAGTGGGCTACACCTGTTATGGGTAAAATCTGATACTCAAGACGAGGACCAGTTAGCCAGCAGTCGGTCAGACATATAAAACGCATTCTCGTGTGGAAAGAGGGAAAGAGCTTTCTAGAAACCGAATTCCTGGATACACCTGCTTTCCGTCAATGTGTGTAATTTTGACTGCCTCCAGAGGTCTAAAACCTGTAAAAATTATAAACCTTGACGTTCTCCAGGGAGAGGATTTAGTTCAGAACCCAAACAAATGCCAGAGGCAATTCTCAGAAATTCAAGGAGTCCCCTTAATTTAAAATACCACTCATAGCTCACTGATATCACTAAATTATGTGTGAAATAGATTGAATGGGTAAACGTTTGACATAAAATGTGCATCTTTACAATGAAAGGGTAAAGGTGTGTGTGTGTGTGTGTGTGTGTGTGTGTATACGTACATATGAGGGGACTCAAAAAAAGTTTGTGGAAAAAAATGGAATTAAAATAGAATTTTCCCATGAGCTTAGAGAAGCCCTCTTGTAAGTGTACACACATACACACACTCTCCCTCTTTCCCTCCCACCCGTTCCTCGGCGTGTCTAGTACGTTGTCTGTCGTAACCTAGGTCAAGCTCTCTGGCTCGTCTCAAAGCAGTGGAAGTCTGGGCTGAGAGCTGCCCAGTGTCCACCACACCTGCTCAACTCACTCTTGCATACATACCTGCTTCCTTCTTGCTCCCCTTTCCTCCCTCTCGGCTCTTCTTCAGAACAGCCTTTAGCATTTTCAGCACTCTTGTGCTTCTGAAGGAAAAAAAAAAGGGGGGGGCAGAGAAGAAATAAGGGCTGTAAGTTGGAAATGTAGCTTGAATATTGACACAGAGGTAACTTGTGTTCAAACACACAGGCCACGTAGGACGACCCCTCAAATTTCCCATTGGTTTCCCATGACTAACCTAAGAAAAGAGTGCTGAAGACACAAGAAACGTTTTATAATGTTTAATGAAGTGATCAGAGTTCACTGTCTTGTTTTAAAAGGGAACACACACACACACACACTAGTGCATTCTCAACATTCCACACCTAATTGAGGTTATGAGGCAAAATCTGGGCACACTGCTGTAAGATGCCTGGCACTGTCTTGCGGGTCTCCCAAGCCTGGTTCATCAAGAGAATAAAACATTAAACTAATAGAATCCAATTGATAATGGCTAAGAAGGAAAACCTCAATGCTTAAAGACGTGTCTGTTTTACAGGTGCTACTAACAACATAAGCTCAAGGAAAACAGTTTGAAATGGCGCGGGAATGAAGCATACCTTGATAAGCATTCGCAAAATAAATACAGTAGGAACATAGTCCAGCCTGATGCCAGGGGTCCCAATTAAACAGCACCCATGCCCCTAGGTTGTCACAATAGTTATGATCTGGGGAAGGAGGGCTGGAGAGGTGGATGGAAGAGGTCTACGGCATTATAACTGAATCCTTTCATAACGAGCTGTGTTTTCCAGCAGCATTGCACTGAGCTTGTGAAACCACAATGGCTGGGGCCTAAGATGAAACGTGAAACCATCTCTTCAGCAAGAGGAGCAGACAAAAGGCCCATTATTTCATCCCCAAGTTAGCCTCCAGCGCCTCGCTTCCCTCCACTAACTCGGGTAAGATGGGTGGAAAACCTCAGCTGTAGCCTTGTGGAGAAGAACATCACACCCTGACACAAGGGAAGGTAGAAGACACGCTGCATCTGAATAGGAAAGACAGGGGTGGGGGCGAGGAGAAGGGGCCGGGGGAGGGAGAGTATCCTAAGTAGAGGATGGGCAACAAGGCTGACCTAAAACCAAAACAAACTCACTGCCATGTGGTCCATTCTGACTGATAGCAACCCTACAGGGCAGACTAGAACTGCCATGGGGCGCGGGGGTGGGGGTGGGGTGTCCTGAGACTAAGTCTACAGGAGTAGAAAGCCTCATCGTTCTCCTGTGAAGCAGCTGGTGATTTCAAACTGCTGGCCTTATGGTTCACAGCCCAGCGAATAACCACACCACCGCCACTGCTCCACACACTGAAAAGTGGAGGAGCTGTGGGGACCACTGAGGAGAAGAGGCCACATGTGCTACCATCCACCGCTCACATCACACAGTGTAAGCACGCTGGGAGACAGACCTCTAATCATTTGGTTCTGGACAAAATATTTATTTTTCCAAGCCCTCTGTTTTATTGTTCAAGAAACACACCTTCCTTGCTCATGGGTCAGGCAGCTAATTAACAGCAGGGCCAACCTATCAGTCTGCTGCACCAAGCCTCTCCTCTTGGATCAATGGAAGTTTCTGGCACCAGTGATCACAAAAACAAACAAGAAAAACTGAGCAATAATAGGAAGATACTGTCTCAGTCAGAATTTGGAGAACACCAAGATGGAGCTATTCAGGTTGAATCATCTCACCAAACTCTTTATACACAAAAGGGGTGTGGCTTGGGACACAATTCTTTCAAAAACGCTACTCAAATGAAGAACCTTGATGGACAGATTAAGGTAAATCTAGAAAAAAGTCACTGGAATTGCTTCGGTAACAGAAACTGTGGGGGCACAGATGCTTAAAAGAAAAAATGCAAATATGCTGTAGCATTGTGGCAGTTACATAATCTGTCAACTGGTGAAGGGGTGGTCTAGGCTATCAATCAGGTCGCAGCTTGGGTGACCGCATTTTGGAGCCAGAAGGAGATAAATAGTTCACTGGGGGCCAGACCCACCGTCTCTCCCTGCTTCGTCTTCCTGTTGACAAGCCACACTGATAGAGCCACAGCCCTCGAGCTGGAGGAGTCACGTGGAGACCCACGGCAGTGTGGAGATGCTTCTACCACCACTGGATTCACAAGACTTTCCACCCACTGGCCTGTGATCTTTCTGCATTTGGCATGATTAGACGGCTGCATGAGTCTAAAGAGGAATTTCTGGACTAGTATTGACATATGGGGTAATATCTGACTTCTATGGACTTGAACTGGACTGGGCTGGGATGTTTTCTTAATGTACAATTGCTCTTTGATATAAAGTTCTCTTACACATGAGTATCTCTGGATTTATTTCTCTAGTCTACCTGAACTAACGCAAGCATATTATTTTTTAATGGCAGGTAAATGTCTAGAAGTGATCACCCCCACCACCAGGCTGTTTATCATCGAATCTGCTTCAATTCATCACAATCTGCTCTATGAGAACAACAGAACACGATGCTGCCTGGTGCTGCGCCATGCTCACTATCGTGAGTCTATCCGTGCTCCGTCTCACTGACCCGCTACTTTATCAGTGACTCATGTTCTTCCTCAGGGGTGGACCCCTCTGATGCTGTGTCCAAAGTACATGAGATGACGTCTCACCGTCTTCGTTTCGAAGGGGCTGTCCTTCTTCCGGGCCAGATCTGGTCTAGTCCATCCATATTCAGAGTTCTTTGCCAACACCATAGTGCAAAGGTCTCGATTCCCCCTCATTTCTCCTTCTTATTCTCTAACCAGCTGTCCCAAGCCCAAGGAAAGTGAACGAAAAATCCCTGACTTGAGTAAAGTGCACCTTAGTCAAACTCATTATTTTGCTTTGTTAACACTTTTTTTGTTTTGCTTTCTTGAGACCTTTGGCAGATCTGCCCAATGCAACACGTAATTTGATTTGACTGTGGCACTGACTGCATCTAAATCAAATGCAATCCTTGGCAATTTCAACATTTACTCCTTTTACCTTGATGTTGCTTATGGGTCCAGTGGTGAGGATCACTAAGCTCATATAGTTTCATCCACAAATAAATCAACCTCCAAGGATTCTAATTTAGCAAAGACTCCACAGCCAACAATGTTTGTTTAGGGCACTTTGCACAAGTCTTGATGAATTCTTCATGAGCTCTGTATTTCCCTGGTTCGGGGAGCAGGTCAAGCCCTGGTGAAGCATGCAATCAATCTCCGTGGTCACCATCGATTGACCCACAATGTCACTCAGATGACATGCTGCACAGCCAAGCAGTAGGACACAGCACTTCTCACCCCAAGCATCCTGGATGCCTATTTTGAGGAGCTCAGCTGTTTTGGGGACAGTCACATCTTCCACATCAGAGGCCTTGGTCACCCAAGGAAAAGAGGCTATCAAATATCTGCTATAAAGTTTTGTTTTCCAGTTCTTGCTTCTTTCCCCAAATAGCAACCCAGAGGGAACGGTTTAAATTTACACTGTAGAGTATGCAGACTATGACCCGATGAAACATTAACTGACCGTGCCTCATGTAACACCAAAGGGAGGGACACACACACAACCCTGACCAGTGGTTAGGAAAATCATCATTAAAACACACACACACAACCCCCCACCCCCCCCCAGGGAGAAAACAAAATCACCAGACTGGCCCCAGCAGTTTGGTTCTGAAATTAATATAGAGCACAGGGAAGCTATGCAACGTTATCTAGGAGTCCGATGATACGTGGTCTAGAAGAAACTTCATTTACAGACCCGAAGGGAAGTGGTCAGAAATGGAAGTTACAAGGGGCCACATTGGCAGTGGACTCCAGAGGATTACAGGGCACACCAGCCAATGTCCGCACTTACACTTACACATACCACATCCCAATTCTGGAAAGGGCCTATCAAAGCCGGGTGCTATTAAACATTGGCATTGTGTACCTACTTTCCCTCATTAGGGTTCTGATCTCACTGAGTCCTCCCTCATAGGTTGGCTTTTTTTAAAATCATTTTATTGGGGGCTCGTACAGCTCTTATCACAATCCATACATACATGCATTGTGTCAAGCACATTTGTACATAAGTTGCCATCATCATTCTCTAAACATTTGCTTTCTACTTGAGCCCATGGTATCAGCTCCTCATTTTTCCCCTCCCTCCCCACCCACCCTCCCTCATGAACCCTTGATAATTTATAAATTATTTTGTCATGTCTTACACTGTCTGACATCTCTGTTCACCCAGTTTTCTGTTGTCCATCCTCCTATATGCAGATCCTTGTGATTGGTTCCCCCTTTCTACCCTACCTTCCTTCCACCCTCCCGGTATCGCCACTCTAACCACTGATCCTAAGGGGTTCGTCTGTCCTGGATTCCATGCGTTTCCAGTTCCTATCTGTACCAGTGCACATCCTCTGGTCTAGCCAGATTTGTAAAGTAGAATTGGGATAATAGTAGTGGGGGTGGGGTGGGGAAGCATTTAAGAACTAGAGGAAAGTTGTATGTTTCTTCGCTGCTACACTGCACCGACTGGATCGTCTCCTCCCGGCAATCCTTCTGTAAGGGGATGTCCAGTTGCCTACAGATGGCCTTTGGGTCCCCACTCCGCACTCCCCCTTATACACGACACAATTTTTTGTTCTTTGATGTATGATCCCATCAACACCTCATGATCACCAAGGCTGGTGTGCATCTTCCATGTGGGCTTTGTTGCTTTTCAGCGGGATGGCTGCTTATTTATCTTCAAGCCTCTAAGACCTCAGACGCTACATCTTTTGATAGCTGAGCACTGTCAGCTTTCTTCGCCCCATTTGCTTATGCACCCGCTTTGTCTTCAGCAATCGTGTTGGGAAGGTGAGCATCACGGGATGGGGCTGGCTCTTTCCTTAGACCATCAACAGTGAGAAAAAACCATGCTGGCTCAACCAACACAACTCTCTGGCCTGTTGGCAGGATTCTGGAAATAAACAAACCAATGTTCTGACTTTAAACTAAGACTCTCACTTAAAGAGAGTCACTTTCCCAAATCCCAAGTCTCCTCCTCCTAAGAGGTATAGACTGATCCTACTGTGAGGGCCCAAGGGAA